CCCACCGCGCTCTGGCCCTGCGCGCCAAGGCTGCTGCTGCCCGCCCGGCTGCTCATCGTCGAACTTTTCGGCGTCTGAGCGTCCCTCCTTCTTCCCTCTTTGCTCGCCGGCCAATTCGCTAGTTGGTGCCCCTATCTAGCTCACGCTGAAGCGGATTTTGCCGTCTCGCCGCTGGCGAAGAAAATGTCGCCGTCTTGGAGCCGACATTGGGCCCTCTCGGACGGGGTCAGGACGTCAGATATACGAAGAACGAGAGCGGAGACCCTAGATCAGGACGAATACATCAAACAATTTCGTCCGATCGAACCTCCCGACTTCACGATTGCGAAATCTGCCTCAAACATGTTCGTTCGCCTCCGTGGAGAGTTTGCTTGCTTGTGTAACTCAGGTTTGGCTGATGGCATGCGTTCCAAGCGTTCCGGAACGATCCCAAGGCGTTCCGGGACGTTCTGAAATTAAAGGTCTTGGCGCCCGAGACATCCTCCAGAGCCGCTGGGCCTCGGGTGTCTCCGATGACGATCCTCGCCCGAGCTTGTCCTCGTCCTGGCTTCGTCTCGCGTGGCGCCGTCTCGGAGCCCGCACAGGGCCCTCCGGGCCTCGCGAGGGGGGGCCCCCGGGGGCCACCCGGGCCCTCTGCAAGGCACCAAATGCTCGCGCCTCGCGCCGGGTGGCCCGGGCCGCAGGGCTGCCCCCTTGCCTGGGGGGCGGCGCGAGGGCGCGGTGCCACCGCGCGCCGCGCATCGCGGGGCGCGCTGCGCGCAGGGCGGCGCCGCGAGTCAGAATGCATGCCCGAACTCGTGATGTATCAACCTACTTTAGCCTTGATCACCAGAAGGAACTTCGAGCACCAAAGAAATCATATCGACGCTCGAGGGTTTTCACGTGTCGGGCCCTGGGCGGCCATCGTCCGACACCGTTTCGACACTCTTTCGACACTTTTTTCCGGGTGCTCGAAGCTATGTTTGGGATGTGGCCCTGAAGTGCAATGGGAGCAACATAGGCCTGAACATCGTGACTGTAGCCTTACAGTGAGCGTCTTGAACAAAGGAACGCTTACTTTTCAAAAGCGGATCGGTCTCGGCGGCCGGTTGCCCTCCAGGTGGCCCGGGCTTCGCTCGCTCTCTCGGAGGCCGTGCGGTCGTGCCCCCTCTGCCTCGCCAAGAGGCGCCCGGCGGAAGCGCCTGGTCGCCGCCGCCGTCGTCGGCGGCAGCTGTAGCTTGAAGTCGGGTTCGTCCCTCTACAGGAGGACTATTCCAAAATAGCCAAACAATAGTATGGGCACGATTTGTTTAGTACCTTTTGATTGTCATTTTTTGGGGGTATGTTTTTCTTTTCGTCCAACCTTCGCCTGTAGGGGGACGCGCCCGACCTAACGGAAGCACCTGGTCGCCGCCAGCGTCGTCGGCGGCGGCGGTAGCTTCAAACGTCTTCGGCGGGGCCGGGCCGACCCCTCGGATCCGAGCTCCGGAGCCGCAGCCGCCTTTTGGCAGCGCCACTGCCGGGAGGACGACGCGGACCTCGCCGCGGCCGCCAAGATTCGTGGCGAGGAGGCGTCCGACTTCGCCCAGGAGGAGAAGGTCAGGGGCGGCCTGCCCGACCCCCCCGGCGCACGGACCCACTCCGCGACGGCCCCGTCGCCTCGCTCCTCGACGTGGGCCTGCGTCCAGAGTGGAGCCGGGCATGCCCCTATGCAGGAGGGAAAATTCAAGAATAGAGAGGACATCGTCCGGGGACGATGTTTTGTTTGACTAATTGCTTTTGACTATTTTGGGGTATTCGTTTTGACTACTTGTAAAGTTTGACACATTGCTTTTGTCTATGTTTGGATATTTGTTTTGACTCCTTCTAAAGTCTCCTCCAATCTCCGCCCGTAGGAGGACATGCCCGACCCAAGTCCAGAGGCGGGCGTCGAGGGTGGCAGGGCCGTCACGGGCGGGGTTCGCCACGGGGGGGGGGCGGTGCGACCGCCCACGGCAAGGAGCTCACGGAGACCCTGTCCGCTATCCAGAGGGCGATCGGCATCCTCGAGAGGCGGGGTCTGCCCCCTCGAATCGAGCCGGACGAAAGGGGGGGCTACGAAATTTGCTGCATGCAGCTGGTATCGGCCTCACCGATGGGCCCATCCCTCGGTACATGGCCGCCTCCGGCGCCGGGAGGCGCCGGGAAAGTCAGCTGCGGGAGCCGATTCTCAAACCGCCCCCTTTCGCCCGACCCGGTCGAAGCCTTGGGGGGGGTCATCTCGGGGAGGAGGTCCTGCCTTCCCGGAATCGGACGGCGCGGGGAGGCTCGGGCGGCCTGCGGCCGGCCTCGCCCCCCGCCTTTGGAGCGCCCTCCTCGACACGTCTTGAAGCCGGGGAAGTGCGCTGCGCGTGAGGAGGAGGAGGAGGAGGAGGAGGAGGAGGAGGAGGAGGAGGAGGAGGAGGAGGAGGAGGAGCCTTCTCGTTCGCCCTCGTCCTCCTCGTGCTCCCCCGCCTCCTCACGTCCTCATCCTGCGCCTCCGCCTCCGCCTCGTTGTGCCCCTATTTCACCTCCTCGTCCTCATCCTCTCCCTTCCCCTCATCCTTCTTCGCCCTCCCCCATTTTTGCTCCTGGTACTCCTTCTCCACGTCGTCGCCGTCATCCGTGTTGCCGTTCTCATGCTGATGCTCTTTCTCCTGTCTGCTACTCTGCCCTCTCTTCCCTCCGCGATGTCCCTGCCCCTCTTCTCTTCGACACACCCTCTCGCCCTCCACCTCTCTCTGCTTCTCACCCCCATGCCCTGCCCCGCTCCCCTCTCCTTTCCCGCCCTGTGGACTGAGGAAGTTGACCTGCTGGGCAAATAATCGGCACGATACCTGCACGGCAGGGCTACGATGGGCGTAGGCCACGCGTCTCGAGCTCGCCTTCGGGCAGTCCGGTGGCCGTGGACCCCTGAACTAGAACGTGCAGCTACTAGGTATACGGATAGTAATATGAATGTTCTGTATTGTGGAGCGAGGTTGGTCGGGGTTGGTCGGAGCGTTGGTCAGCCTTGGCCGAATGGTTGGTCGGGACGGTTTGTTGATTGGTTTGCTCTGTCCGTTGCGTCTTGTAGAACGCGCCCGCGTCATTGCAGGCACGAGGTTCTCGCTGCCTGTGCACATGACGTCCCCTCTGTGCCTCATCGAACCTCTCCGCACAACGGGTTAGAGTGGCTTGAACGCGGCATAGCAGGCATGCTGCATCTTGGGCCACAAGTGTGCGAGAGGCAGTCCAGACATATGTGCACAAGTGGATGCTAAGTCTATTCCAGCTCCCCCCCTTATCCCCCCTTCTGATCCTACCCCTCCTACCCCCCCACCTCCCGCCCTCCGCCAAGCCGCGTCCTCACCCTACTTCCCCCTCTACCTCGTCCCTTGAATCGTCGTCCTTCCTCTCTCCTTCCTCCCTCCCCCCATCCTTCTGCTCCTCCTCCTCCTCCTCCTCCTCCTCCTCCTCCTCCTCCTCCTCCTCCTCTTGCTTCTCTCCTCCCCACTTCCTCCTCTCCTGCTCCCCCGTCGTAGCCCCCCCCGCCCCCTCCTCGGCGCGCCACCTCCCTCCCTGCCCTCCTCCTCCGACTCCTCCTCCGCCCCAGCCCATTTCAGCCCCCCCCCTTTTGCTGGGCATACCTGTCACCGCAACTACATGCATACTCGCGCACATGGCAATTGGGTGGTAAGCACTCGCTTTCTACTCGCACGTGCATCATGGTCGCTCACACGGTTTCTGTCTCTTCCTACAATTGTCTCCGTCTGCAGCAGCACGACAGGTTCCAGGACATATGCCACGCACTTCGTACGAGCATCATACTTATTCAAGGCACACGGCGTCGCATTCATGAACAAGATCCATGCGACACAGATACGTCCTTCAAGTACCATCAGTTTCACTTCGGTTATCATCCCAAACAAGGCAACGCACACACACACACACACACTGGAGTTACTATCGCAATATCATGTCAGAGGTTCCCAAGATCCAATATCATTCTCCGTATCATACCCTAAGCAGCAATATCTCAGGGGACCTGGTGGGGCTATTCGATGCAAGAACCAGCAGTCTGACTTCACATGTATCTCGGCTTATTTCCCTCCGAACACCGATTCTGCCCGAAGCCGTAGAGATTATAAAAAACGTTGGCGTGGCTTGAAGAATTGTACTCGGCTCTATCATCTCGTACACTCCCTGCCTTGGGTATTGACTCTAACGAGCACATTGGGCTTATCAGGGCTCCAGCGGGCCCTACACCTACCGATGATTCCTGCACTGGGCCCTTCAATCGCAGCTTGCAGCAGCCCCGCACGCATCAGTTCATAGAATTCCTTCTCAAGCATGGTCTGATATTACTCAACACGTTCTACCCGACATCCCCTACATATTACCATGGAGTATCAGGCTCCACCAGCCACGTCGACTTCATTGTTGTTCCTCGCAGTTTTTACTTGGCACAACATGTCGTCAAATGTCAGGTTCTTCGCTCGCTCGGCGATCGATTGCAACTGGTTCCTGATACTCTGCGAATTGACCATCGCCCAGTGTATCTTCTTCTTGAACATAATCTTCGCTATGAAGGCCAAGGAGCAGACAATCATGTTCGTTGGGATTGTGATAAACTCGTTCAATCCGTTATGCAAGGCTCTCGGCGTCAGGAGTTTTTTTCATCGCTCTCGATGAGTGCACCGAAGATCACGCGGACGAACTTGATGTTACTTCAAAAAAGAGCTCACCCGAACAATGGGAATAACTTATCGAGCGCGGTTTACTTCCCATTGACGCGGAACACTATGGAATAAAAGGCACACGCAGCAGGACCCCACTCCCAAGAACGACGAGATCTTCTTCGCCGGCGACGAGAGTTAGGCGTTCAATGCTTGCAGAATTATCGGGTATCACAGCATGGTGTTCTATTCTACTGCATTTCAGCATTGGCACAAGCTTTCTCAACTGTTTCGTCTTAGTCGGAGCATCCGTCGGTATCATGCCGCCCGTACCAAAGAACTCAACGAACAACGACGCATCGAACTACAAGAGGCTTGGCGCGCACGAAGACTGGCAGAAGCATGGCAACTCGCACGACTTCTTACGGGCAAACGTATCGGACGACGCCTGCGAAATTATTACAAAGCTGCCTTACGTCGTCGATCCGAAGCTGTATGGTTTCACAAACTATCTCAGCCTGGATCGCAAGGGGGATGGAATTGCGTTCGTCTACCTGTCGCACAAGTTAGGCAGATTTTTTTCGACGATCGCGATGATACGGTTCATGTTAGCCATCAGTGTCATTTACTTGGTGAATATGATTTGAAGCAGGTCAGCTGGTGGGTTCGAAAAAGCTCTAATCGTCGGTCACCTCCATCGTGGGACGTACCGAATGAAGTCTGGACAATGATTCTGTGGTCTCAGTCAGTCTACAAATCAGAATCACATGGAGTTGGACACGACGCGACCCTGTATGTGCCGCTGCTTTTTTTTTTTTGAAACATCTTCAACGGATTTTGGATATGATTCGTGCTACTGGTCACAGCCCATTTCAATTTCACCGCAGTCAGGGGTTTCAGATCCCAAAAAAAGACGATGTCCACATTGTTCACAGCATCTCCCCTTTCTCCAAGGCATATCACGAAGGCCTCCTTCGACGACCGGGCAAGCCTTCCCGACCCCCCGCCACGCCGTGCATTTGCTGTGCCAGGCCGGCGCCGTGAAGAAACTATACTTATTAAGGTGCTGGTCTCTCATCGCTGCTCTAAGAATGGCATAAGCATTGCCAATCATCACTACGACGTGGCCAACGCGTTCGCCTCCCCGTCTCACGATGCGATGGACAAGGCTACTCAACATCTAATGCTACATCAGCCTGAAGATGACTTTCTAGAAGAGGAGGACGTTGCACCAGTTCACGTCGCAGAACAAGACGAACGCTTACTGCGTCAACATCATAGACACTCTACATGTGTGCTACAGACATCAGATGTCCCTGCTGAGTTTTATCCTCGCAGTGGCACATTCCAGGGCAACAGCGTCGCTACAAACGAGTTTCACATAGTGCGCTGGCAGGCTATACAAGCATGGGGAGAAAAAACGAGGGATCCTCAGCTACTTGTTCCATCGCCCTTGAATTCCGCCGTTGTCGACATGTTAATCACCTCCTTTGTCGACGATCTTTGTAAGCAGTGCACTATTACTACACCCGCCAGCCTATATGATACTCAAGCACAGCATGACAATGTCCTGAACACCATATTCACGGACTACACGATTGCGCAGCACACAGGAAAAAGCGAGTCTACTGCACACTTCGTTGGAGCGCCTGCACAGATTCATCAGCGCACTGTTCGTTCACAGCAATCACAATGCACAGTACTTAGCGCGGCACGCTACCAAGGACCATGTCTGCATTATCGCAATTGTTTCTACGTCGAGCGCAATCTGCGCATTCAAGCCGCAAACAAAGCGTGGTTCATATTCAAGCGAGTCTGGTTCACTAAGACTGATCTTCGGTTCCGCGTTTTAGTATTTTGATGCGCAGTCTTGTCCGCACCTTCAGATCTTACACCATTCGTTCTTGCAGATCATGGCCACGCTATCTTCGACGAGTACATATTATATAAGGGACGCAAACTGATGAAAGGCAAAGCTACAAATAAACATCCCCTTCAACGGCGGCACAATCAAATACAGACCCAACCCCTCGATGGAAGCCTGGAGAAATATAGGCATGGCAGACGCACTTACTGAGCCTCGTATTCAGAGATTGAAATGCTTCCAAAAGATACGCAGTCATCCTCTTCATCACCAGCTGTATGTAACAGCTATGTTCGGACGATTCCCTCATTATCCCCTTAGTGTGGACAATTCTCATCCATGGCTACAGCAGTTGACTACAGATCTACAGGAGTTGTCTTCGCTCGGATGCACATATTTTCTCGACGGCGCTCCCCCGTCGCAGTTGACCGCGGCAGGCGCTCTGCAGGAAGACTTTCTTGGTATCGATGTATCTGAATTGCGAGCTAAGTTTCCTGTTAACATACCTCCTTCTCATTGCGATTGCGACATACTTAATCCTACCACGTCCTCATGTTCATTACCTACAGGTGAATATTATTGTGGTCTCATGCGTACTGATGGTAACATATGCACGCTCACATTCCCTACCGTGACAGCTCTCAGGTTACATCGCGCACGTGAACAGTCTATGCGCGGCATGATCACTTCAGACTCCATCGTGATGGAAGCTGTATGCCCATGGTGCTCTACGCACTTCTCTATTCGAAAAATCGCACAGGATCATGCACGACGTAGCTGGCATGATGGTAGATGTATTGTTGATCAGAGCTTTCTTCCGTCGCCCCCTATCTTGTCAGATACCGCATACACGTGCACCATATGTAGTCCCTACGGGAACACTTACGAGTGCGACGACATTTACGCGTACAACCATCATATCCGTATCAAGTACATATCTGGCCCAAGACGACTTGAGTTATCTACAACAGATACCTCGTCCATATTCTTACCGCAGCCCGCGGCACCCCGCCTCGCTGGTTCTCGGCCTAGCAGCAGGCGGCCCCAATATGCAGGCGAAGGAGCGCTGCAAAGACGCCAGCCAGTACAATCTTCTTCTCATAACAAAGTTGTGCCTCAGTATTGCTATGTCGCCAAAGACTCTCAGGGCAATCGAATGGGAAAACTATCAAGTGAGCGGGAACCCAGAGTATTTCACCCAACGCAAGAATTTTCCGATAGCTATGCAGAGACGACGAAACAGTGTAGCAACAGGGATCAGAAACAGCAGAAGATGGCCACCCTGGCACACCCTCTCATTTGCGTGTGGAACGCACGGATCATCACGGCGAAGATCAATCCTGGCGAGAAAGATGTGGATCCGATGCTGAACTACTTGCAGCACTACACCGACAAGACGAAGGACAACAACGTGGACAAGGATCGGTACCTTTACAACCTAATGAAAGTAATACGATCTGTTCGCTGCTGCAAGACGTGCGACAGCAAGATCAAACTCTTCGAGACCAACGTGAATTCTGGCAACGACAGCGAGAGGGTGCTATACCTGATACTTGTACCACTAGGGCGTCGCGACAAGGCAGTGAAGCTCGAGGAAGACATCGAGCGCAGGATCCAGCAGGCGACCGACGCGTTCGAGGCGCAGTGAGACCAGCTCGTGAATTTTCAGCTGAAGCTCCTGTTGCGCCTGCTGGTCTTCCAGGCCCCTGCCTCCGCCTGCCGAGAGATAGTTTCCCCTCTCGTCCTCCCCGTCCTCCTCCCTCCCCTCCCCCTCCTCCTCCCCCTGTCTTCAGTGTGTCCGACGGCGCTCGTCTGTCTTCGCGGTTTCAGGCAGCTCGTTTGATACATGAGCGATCTAAATCGAGATCACAGGGAGAAGCCTTGTGGTGCACTCGTGCTACAGGTATGAGTGCACGGCGTTCGCGGCCTTTCACGCTTCGTGCTGATCCAGGGCTTGCGTGCACTGTCGTCGGTGGGCCTAGCTCGTGTTACCCCCTTCTACGGTCGCGCGTCTCTGAGCGTACGAGCCCCTGTTCAGGTCAATTCTGCCAGGCTGATTCGACAGGTCTTCGAACGATCGCTCTTGTGAGCTGTTGTTGTTATTATTATTATTAGTATTAGTATTATTATTATACCTCCTCCGCCTCCTCCTCCGCCTCCTCCTCCTTCTCCCCCCTCCGATTCCTTTCCCTCCACCCATCCCCCTCTGCTCCTCCCTGTCCCCCAACCCCTCCCCTTCTGCCCCCTCCTCCCCCCTCTGCTTCCCGCCCGTACCCCCCTTCGGCCCTCGTCCTCTCGTTGACTCCCCCCTCATCTCGCCCCCTCGCCCTCGCTGCCGCCACCGCCCTCCTCCCCCGCCCCTCCCAACTCGTCGCCGCTGCCCAGCGGCCCGATGCAGGGAGATGGCCAAGGGCGGCGGGGCCGCCCTCGTCCAGGTCCAGTCCGCTGGCTCCGTGGTCCAGGCGCTGCAGGCCCTGGTGAAGGCCCGTGCCGGCGCAGCGCGCCGCCGAAGAGGGCGTCGATCGGGCAGTCCCTAGTTATGCCATTCGGAAACCCAACAAACTTATAACATGTCTGGCGTGATGATATCTGACGTGAAACTTGCAAGAATGATGGAGGTGGCCGTTGCGTCGCCGATACTGTTGATGGCGCCGGTCAATCGTTGGGAGTCTGAGTGCCCTGAGGGGGTCCAGGAAGGGCAAAAGCCTGGGCGCTACTGACCAACCACCACTTTGACCCCACCAGCTGGCTGGGCCTTCCACGTCGCGCAAAGACTCGATGCCGCGCTCAGAGAGCATTTCCTGTGGTGTCGAGGAAGTGCCACGCCTGCCTCGCTGTGCGATCCCGAAACGGATAGCGCTCCCACCCCGGGCGCACCCTCTGTGGTGTCGAAGTGCCATGCCAGGCGCGGCGGCGCGCGAAGAGGCAGCTGCCGCGCGCACGCCGCGCCCCGGCGACGCAAAATGGTTTCAAGACGTGGGCCCCCCGGGTCCGGGTGCTGCCAGAAGTGCCCCTGATCTGAGGTGCCCCCAGGAGATCCAGGGAGGCCTCCCTCTGGCCCGAGGTGGCCCCCAGGGCTGTCCAGGGAGGCCCAGCTGGCCTCCAGAGGACGAGGAGGAGGAGGAAGAGGAGGAAGAGGAGGAGGAGGAGGAGGAGGAGGAGGAGGAGGCGGAGGAGGCAGAGGAGGAAGAGGAGGAGGAGGAGAAGGCCCAGGTGATCTCCAGAGCACCCTTCACGTTGTCCCAGGGGGGCCTCAGGGGTTCCGAGCCGTAGCAAGAAACTGGGGGCACCGTGGGCCCGGGGGCACCTCGAGCAACCTCCGACCCGTGACCTCGACCTTGTTTCCAGGGGCGGGCTTTGCTTCCTGAGTCGTTTCCTCTGGTTCCTGGGGCAAGGTAACGCTTCCCGGAGGCCGAAAGCGTAGAGCAACTGGCCGTCGTTAGTCTCGTGATGCGACGTCCAGATTCGAGGGATGATGGGTTCCGTAGATGGGTAAACATGGTAGCGTTACATCTGTAGCATTCCATCCGTTGCCGTCGTGCTGTGACGAACTTCTCTTCGAATGGATGCGCAGGGAGGTGCCTGCGGCGGCGTCCACTCCGCGCGCAGCCCTGGGCCAAGAGGACAGTCTGGGCCATCTCGTGCCCACCTCGTGCTCCTGGAGGCTCTCCCCCCTTCTGCAGCAGAGAAAACCCACACAGACACTAATAATCGTCGATTCCCTTGAAAATCTGGAACACATGGGAAGTGGAAGGGAAGAGGAACCTCCAGAACATATGGAAAATTTGAGGGATCCCGGCATCTGCGTCTATCTATTTGTGTGTCCATGGGCCCCTTCACTTCTCCGCCTCCCCCCTCCGCCCTCTTCGACCCTCTCCCCTCCTGCTCCGTCTCCTCCTCTCCTCTCCTCCTGCCGCCGGCCGCTGCCACCCGTGCCGGAGGCGTCCGCCTTCAGCGCCGAGGACGCGGCCGCCCTCACGTCGTTCGTGCAGAGTTCCCAGGAGCGCGCACCCCTAGATTAGGGGGCCACATGCGAACCCTACCCCTACCCCCCACGACTTCTGAGGGAGAGGGTGGGGTTCACTTCGCTCGAGGGCTCCCCTACAGATGGGGGGGACGAGGAGTGGCAGACGCGGGAGGATGGACGGGGTCGGTGGAGGTGGAGTATAGGGGGGACGGGGAGGGGGGGAGGATCCAGGGTCGAAGCATCCGTCAGGCGATCGCAACACATGGGTCCAGGGCGCGCGGATTAGCGACGGGCCCCGTTCCCACGGGAAATCGCGGATCCCCGCCGCCGAGCGAGGCGGCACCGGGGCACCAGCCGCATTCTGGGGGGGGGGGGGCAGTTTCCCTGGTCCATGTATTTGGCGACCGCGCGCCAAATCCCTGGATCGCTAAACCAGGTTTGCGCGCCCCCGAGGGGTGGTGGTGGAGTACAGGGGCGACGGGGAGGGGGGGGATCCAAGGTCGAAGCATCCTTGGGCTCCGTGGACGTTTGTGTTTTTTGTTCCTGGCTTCCACGACGAGGCGTCTGGATGTCCCCTGGGGTAGCAGCCTGCAGAGACATCTCCCTGGGATCTCCGCAGAGGTTTTCACAGACTCCTCTGAAAGGAGGGGGTTTCACACTTCCTTTAGCAGCCTGGAGCGTATCCCTAATTATCCCTGTCACTGACATCGCCTCATCTAGATGCCGACCTTCAGGATTCCCTTAGTTTTCGAGGGCGCGTCCCTAAGATTGTCATCGCCTCCTGGCTGGTCAATCTTAGGGATAGGGGTCAGCGCGAGGCTGGTTGCTCCTCCTCATCTCAGCTCGCTCCTCACCTCCTCGTCCTGCCAGGGCGGCCCCTCTTCGCTCACAGAGGGGGGCCGGACAGCTGCAGTCCACGGCGCTGCAGGGCCTGCGCGGATGCCAAGGCCGAGACGGTCCGGGAGCCTCGTGAGTTCTGAGAAATTCAGAGGCGCCGTGGGTGTTGGGCCATCCTCCGTACCGTCAGGGGGGAGGGGGATTTTCATGCCGCCCGCTTTCGTGCCGCCCTCTTTCGATTCCTCCTCCTCCTTCGTTTCGTCCTCCTGTCTTTGGTCCTCTCTCGAAGCTGGGCAGAACTCTGAAACTGGGCGGGTCGAAAGCGGGCGTAGCGGAGCGGCCGAATCGAGGCGGCCGACATGGAGCTGATGACACATGACACTCGGACGAGTTGAAGCCCAACCGTGGGCGGGGCGCACCGAGGTCTCCTACGGCATGCAAACTTTGCACTCCGGGCGGTTTTCTCCCGCATTGGGTTGGGAGGAGGGGGAGGAGACGGAGGAGCAGGAGGAGGAGGAGGAGGAGGAGGAGGAGGAGGAGGAGGAGGAGGAGGAGGAGGAGGAGGAGAGGAGGAGAGGAGAGGAGGAGAGGAGGAGGAGGAGCAGGAGGAGGAGGAGGAGCAGGAGGAGGAGGAGGGAGGAGGAGAGGAGGGAGGAGAAGGGGAGGGGGAGGAGGAGGAGGAGGAGGAGGAGGGAGGAGGAGGAGGAGGAGGGAGGAGGAGGAGGAGGAGGAGGAGGAGGAGGAGGAGGAGGAGGAGGAGGAGGAGGAGGAGGAGGTGGGGGGAGGAGGAGGAGGAGGAGGAGGGAGGAGGAGGAGGAGGAGGAGGAGGGAGGAGGAGGAGGAGGAGGAGGAGGAGGCGAGGAGGAGGCGAGGAGGAGGAGGAGGAGGAGGAAGAGGAGGAGGAGGAGGGGCCGCCAGGGCCCCGCTGCCGGGCCCAGCCGCAGGCCCCGCAGGGCCCGCGCGCCCGCGGCCACGCTCATCGGCCGGGCGCCTCGCGAGCCCCCGCAGGACGCCGCCGACGGCGACTCTGCACCGGGCGCCCCCGAGGCCGCCGCCTACGGCAGCAAGAGCGGCGGCATCGTGGAGGCGCCCATGGCGGCGGTGGCGGCGGCGACGCGTGCGTGGGCGGCCAGAGGCCGGGCGTCGCTCGGGCGTGCGCATTTTTTTGAGGGGGGAGGGGCGAGGGCCATCGAGGAGCATCCGGGATCATCGAGCAAAAAGGACGCGCACGAAACTGAAACATGCACGGGGAGTGGACGTCCGAGCGATGGGGTTGAGGACCAGGAGGTTTGGAGATCATGGCCAGGTTCATGTAATCTTCCCGAATCTTATGTCTTCCTCGTCTTCTACCAGTGCGCGTCTCTTGCCTCCCCCCCTCGCCCACGCACATGTCGCATGGCTCCGACCATGATTTGTGAACCCCCTTCTTCTTGGTGGACGGCCCCCTCTGGGACCCGCCCGACGCTTGGCGACGGCGGCGGCCAAGGCGGCGGGTACGGCGGCGGCGGCGGCGGCGTCAGCAGACCCAGACCTCCGACGATGTGTTTTTGTTCGGCTCGGGCGATGCCTTCTTCCATTGCGGCCCCTGGGGGCTCCTCCAGAGACTGGGGGCCATCAACAGTGGATGTTAGCCAGTGTGGACCCCAGGGAGTAATTTGCGCCAGTGGCCGATTTCTGTGGTGTAGGTAGACCCTCTGTTGGGGATACGCCAATTCAATCGGCCACGCGGCCGGGACACGATGTTTTCCTAGAGGGTCAGGCTTGTTGTCGTTTCGGTCAGTGCTCAGCCGCCGAAATTCGGCCACTTTCGTGGGACAAGCTTGTCCAGGGAACGAGCATCAAAAGTTCCAGAGGTCGCGAGAGGTGGTATTCTGGCTTATACAGCCTCATACATAGTTATCTATATGACCACCCTTCGGGTGAGAAATGCTGGCAAATGCAATGAGTAAGATGAAGACGATGCTGATGACGTTCCCCCGAGTTAGCGACGACGCGTGATGATGATGATGCTGATGATGATGCTGATGATGATGCTGATGATGATGATGATGATGATGATGATGATGATGATGATGATGATGATGTTGCACTGCGATGTTACGTCACTATCGCCTTCGCCTCCCGTTTCACAGCCAATGTATTATCAACCTCACTGTCGATCTCCCCCTTTTGACCTCGACATCCATCCCATCCGATCGATCCCGGCATCGACCTCCCTGTCGACTCCACCATCGACACCGAGGCGGGCCCCCCCCCGCGGCCGCCGCCCGCCCGCCACAGACGGCACGCCGACGGGACAGCACAACGCCACGGAACGCCGACGACGGGACACTAACGTGGGACACCACGACGGGAGCCGCCCGGGGGCCGCCTGGCGCGCCCCCTTGGGGGCGGAGGGGCGGCCCACGGCATCCGAGTCGCCCTAGCGTTAGGTCGGGCGTGTCCCTCTACAGGAGGAATAGACTCAACAGTAGCCAAAACATAGTCTGGGGACTACTTTGTTTGGCTATGCTGTTGAACCATCATGGAGCATTTGTGGTCCAAAATCCCCCTGTGGGGGGACAGGCCCGACCTAACCCCAGCGACGGCGGGGTCATTTCTCTCGCGCGCCCACGCAGCTCCGCCTCGCCCGCACGCGCGACACGAACACGAATCCGAAACCGATTTCCAGGCAGGTGGCGCTCCGTTCCGCTGCGATCTCACCCCCCAGCCTCAGGACGCTCAGACGTTGCCGTGCACACTGTTGACTCCAGGACCCTGTGGCTGGCATCCAGCAGACGCCAGCCCTCATGTGGGGCTCGGGGCGGTCTCGTAAGTAGGCTCTCTTCCTCCTTCCCCTCCTCCTGATTTGCACATTGACGAATTCATCCAATACAGTTTCAGGGCACCTTGTGCTTCTCCCTTCCCCGCTGGCTTGTGGGTAAGGCTTCCTGGAGCGCGCTTCCAAAAGATTTGATATCAAAGTGAGGGGGCCGAACGGTCATTCATTGTCCCTGAGTGCGTGGCTGAAGTGGGGAACCGTGGTGAGGATCCTGCGTGTTGCATTATTGCGCTGTTGCGTTGACGCGTTGTTGTTGTTGTTGTCGTCGTCCAAACCGCGACCCACCCGCGACCCCGCCCGCGACCCACCCCGCGACCCACTCGCGACCCACCCGCGACCCACCTGCCACCCACCCCGCCACCCACCCGCGATCCACCCCGCGACCCACTTGCGACCCAGCCGCGACCCCACCCGCGACCCACCCCGCGACCCACCTGCGACCCACCCGCGTCCCACCCGCGACCCACCCGCGACCCAACAGCGACCCACCCGCGACCCACCCGCGACCTACCCACATTGGTTTAACGATAGAATCGGCGCTTGCGGCGGGCTCGTTGTCAGAGGGGGGCCGAACGGTCTTTTATTGTCTCTGGGTGCGTGGCTAAAGTGGGCGTGGTGAGACTTCTGCTTGTCGCGTTTTTGCTCGTTTTTTTGTCGTCGCCTCACCCGCGACCGATCCGCGACCCCTCCCGCCCCCCCGCGACCCCCCGCGACCCATCCGCGACCCACCCGCGACCCACCCCGCGACCCACCCCGCGACCCACCCGCGACCCACCCCGCGACTCACCCCGTGACCCATCCGCGACCTTCCCGCGACCCACCCGCGACCCAACAGCGACCCACCCGCGAGCCAGCCGCGACTTGCCCACAGTGGTTTAACGACGAAATCGGCGCCTGTGGCGGGCTCATGGTATAATGTGTGAAAGTGTTGCGCTTGCGGCGGGCTTCTCCAGAGGCTCGCAGACCGCCGTCGTCCTCAACGCCCCCCCGCTCTCATCCGCACCTGCGGGGTGCTGCGGTAGTTCCTCATGCTCCTCCCTTGCTCGACCGTCGCTGCACCCCCTTCGGCGGGGAACGAGCCACACTTTGTTGGGAGAGTGTTTTTTTTTTGTTTTCTAACCTGTGGCGGAAAATGTTCTCCTTGTGTTGGCTCCGTCTGTGCAGTTGTCCTCCCTCTTTGCCCCCTGCTGTACACGCAGCCGCTGCCCAGTCTCTGCTGCGCATCGCCACGGAGTGCACGGGCTACCCGAGAGATGTTGCGGCCGCCCGTTCTATCATGCCCTTCCTCCCCCCCACAAAAACAAAGCAGAGTGCTTGGTGCAGTCTGGTGCAGCCTACGTTGCGCAAGCTATGTGGTAGAATATGTGTGGTGCAGTTGACTACCCTGCACCGCGCTTGACCACTCCACTGCTCGCGCAAACATCCCACCCACCCACCCGCAACTTGGTTCGCAAAATCTCTTAAGACCGTGACGGTGGGTACCAAATGGCACTTGCCAACGACAGCGACGCCGACGACGACAGCGACAACGACGACGACGACGCCGCCGACAACGACTACGACGACACCGACGACGTCTCCAACGACTTCGACGACGCGACGACGACGACGACGACGACGATGACGACGACGACGACGACGACGACGACGACGACGTCAACGACGCCGACGACGACGACGACGACGACGACGACGACGACGACGACGACGACGCCGACAACGACGACGAAGACGACGACGACGCCGACGACGACGACGACGAAGACGACGACGACGACGAGGGAGGAGGGAGGACGACGACGGCGACAACGACTACAACGACGAGGGAGGAGGGAGGACGGCGACGACGCGAACGACGAAGAAGGAGGAAGGACGGCGACGCCGACGACGGCAACGACGAGGGAGGAGGGAAGACGACGACGACGACGACGACGACGACGACGACGGCGACGAAATAGGAGGGACGACGACGAGACGCCGACGACGGACGACGACGAAGACGAGGGAGGAGGAGGAAGGACGACCACGGCGACAACGACGACGGAAACGACCACGACGCCAAAGAGGACGACGACGACGAACACGAGGAAAGACAGAGGACGACAAAGGCGACGACGACGACGACGACGACAACGACGCGGGAGGAGGGAGGACGGCGACGACGACGACGAAGACGCAAGAGCGCGCGCACACGCTTTTGTTGAAAATCCGTATTGCGAAACCTAGGGTTTTTGTAGGTTTTTTGGACGCGCGATTTCGACATCCTTCCGAAACCGATGGGTTTTGAAGGATTTCGGCGTACGCGCGCGACGACGCGCGCGTCTGCACTTCGTCCCATCTGTTGCAGAGGATTCTCGCGGCGGCACACGCGCAAGGGCGTTCGACAGATTTCGACATGCGCGCGCGAAGCCCGTTTGGTAGCATGTTGTGAAAATCTTGAAAAACCGATGGTTTTCTTAAGATTTCGAAAGAGCTCGCGCGGAAGCTTTTTTAGCAAATCAGTGTTGCGAAACCATGTGTTTTTGTATGTCTTTTGGAAACTCGATTGCGAACTCTTTCCGGCACCGAAGGTTTCTGAAGGATTCCGGCATGCGCGCGCAACGACGCGCGCGTGCGCACTTCGTCTCATTTTTTAAAGGGATTCGTGAACAAGTGCTATGTTAGAACAACAAATGTCACCGCCTTTTTTTTATAACAAAAAAAACGGACCCTCAGGGAGGGGAAACCGGCCTGCCTGGGATGGTATGATTTCATATTTAGGATGGGCGAGTGTGCAGAGTATAAATGAAATTATATTATCCCAGGGGGAAGCGTTAAGTCAGGGGGGGGGGGGGTAGAGTTTATTTCCCCACATCCAAAGTGGGGTTCTTGTTCCCCACATCCAAAGTGGGGTTCTTGTTCCCCACATCCAAAGTGGGGTTCTTGTTTTCTCTGCACACGCCGCGCAGGATCTCACACACCCCCTTTCCTCTCTCTCTCTCTCACCATCATCGCCATCATCATCACCATCAACCACCATCATCGTCATCACACGCACATACACATCATCATTACCATCATCATCACCATCAACCACCATCACCGTCATCGCTAGTCATCATCATCATCCTCATCAGCATCGTCACCATCATCGCCACTCGATCACCCACTCACTCACTCAATTACTCACTCATCCTCAGTAGGCTTCGGAGGCAGTGGTCCTCCGACGGTCGGACCGCCGCCACTCTCAACATCATCGTCACCATCTCCATCATACCCTCTCGAT